GACAGGTGAGCCTGGCGCCGCGCGGACGGGCGGCCCTCGGCGTGGGCCTGACGGAGCTGCCCCCGAGTCCCCGGGCAAAGCGAGGCCTTTCCGTTGCCCATCCCGACGTCAAAGGCGGCCTCGGGAACGCCCCTTTTACGCACGAAGACTTTATTGAGTTTTCCAGGGCTGCTGTAGTTCTCGCCTGAAATGCCTTTTTCCTTCCATCCTGACTAGACCTCCAAGGTGGCGAGAACACGAGTCCGAGGCCATGGCCCGTGCTGCCTCCTGGCCCGGGCTCCCCCCTGGCCTCTCCGGCGCCGTCCACACCCTCCGCCTCTGGGCGGCCTTCTGTCACGTGGACCGTGTCAGACAGAACCTGAGCTCGTGGGCTCTGACATTGCCAGGAAAGGCCGCCCCCGCCCCCACCGGCCTCAGGTCCGGTAGAAGCACGAGGCTGTTGTCAGCGCAAGGTGCGCCTGCTGCCTGTGCACACTCAGCCGGCCACAGGGGCCGTCAGCCCTTAGTCTGGCTATGAGGGGCGTCCGGCTACCTGAGACAGGACAGACCCCCCCCCCCCAACGTTGGCCGTCCCCCGCCTCCCCAGGGAAGTGCAGCCAGTGACCTAGGCCAAAGCTTTGGTGAGTGTTGGCCTCCGTGGGGAGAGAGGGTTTCCCAGCTGGAGAGGGTCGGAGGGTCTCCAGGTGTGAGCCTCCGGCTGGACGGTGCTCCCCATGGATCCCGTGACGACTCACCATTTCCTCTCTCGCCTGCCTCTGGGAGTCCTGAGCCAGCCCATTCCAACCCTCCCATCCCCACACCGGGGGCAAGTTAGTTTCCAGATTTTTCTGTTTGGGGCTGGGGGACGTTCGGCCAGGTTGACACTGCATATTTCCTGGGCGTCTCCAAGGTGTCTGGATTACTCTCCTAGCAGCTGGGCTGTGCGCGGTGAACAGGACAAGGGAGGCCGCCCTCATGGAGCTGGCTTTCTGTTCACTGAGAGGTTAAAGAATGATTGAGGGAGGAAGCAGGCCCTGCTAGCTGTGAGTTCAGTTACCTGGTAAATAGTATCGTTGGCCGTGTAACAAATTACCTCAAAACTAAGTTACTTGAAGCAACGATAAACATTATCTCCTAGTTGTGAGTCAAGAATGTGGGGACAGGTGTTCCCAGTGCTGATGGCTCAGAAGCTGTAGCTGGGTCTGCAGTCATCCGAGGCTTCCCCTTGGCTGGAGGGCCTGTTCCCAAGTTGTTGTTTTAAAGATTTATTTATTTGTGCATACAGAACTGGGGTACAGGCCAGAGGTGCAGAGGCGGTGAGAGGATTTGCCAAGACAGGGGGGGGGGGAAGAACAGGCAGATGGACAGAGTACACCGCCGAGGGGAGCAGCAGGAGAGGTCTGCTGCACCAGGTGGGTCACCGTCCTGGCTGGGGATCGAACTCACGCTGAAGCCGCTGCGGTGAGCTTCACGGTGCTGTGCTTACCCGTGCGCCACAGGGAGGGCCCTGTTCCCGAGGGTTTATGCATGCAGTGCTGGCTCCGGGGCATTGGGTGACTCTAGCTTCAGAAGTTCTGCGATGTCCACACCCCTGCTTCCTGGGTGTACCCTTCCTGGGTACACAGGTTAACCCCTGTGGGTGGAAAGAGGCTGCCGGTGAGGAGCGAGAGGGGGGTTGACGAGGGCTGTCTGGGAGCCCAGCACCTGCACACTCTTTGGGGAGCTGACAACACATGATAGCGCATGCTGGGAAATGCTGGAAGCTCTGCAGCCTTCTTTAACCCAGGACTGGAGCACATCACTTGAAATTAGTGGACTCTCGGCCAACCTCAGCTCTGGTTACCCTGAGGTCCCTTGTAAAATGAGTTCTGTGCTTCCCAGGGGACTAAGGTCCAGCTTCTCTCAGCTATGGGCGGGCCCCGTGTGTTCCGTCACTGCTGTGACCTTCCGAAAGGGGGCGTGCCTGGTGGGCACAGGCTTTAGGGCTGACCAAGTCCATCTCGCCTTGGGGCGCCTGAGGGTACCCCTTCCTGTAGTGCTTCTATGTGGAGGAGAAAGGGGCCGGGGGCGGCACCCGCCTTGCTGCAGTGTTGTTCAGGGTCTGAGGCGGGTCCTGGCAAGACGTGGCGGTCCACCCTGTGCGGCCAAGCTGTCCATGGGGTAGCGTGACCCCCACAGCTTCTCTGAGCCCGCTGCCTGCCCTGCAGGGAGGAGGGAGAACAGCTCCAGGACGACAGGGGACAGGGGACAGGATGTGGCCAGCACGGTGGAGCCTGGAGTTTCTCCAGAAAGGGCCGGTGAGTGGCACTGCCAGCCAGCTCCTGCCACGCTGGAAAAGCTGACCACATGGGTCACCCCAAGTCATCTGACTCCAAGGCACCTCCGTCAGGCAGGAGGTGGCACCTCCAGCTGGAGGCCGCGAGGGGGCCAGCCCAGACCCTCGCTTCCGGGCCCGCGGATTCGCACACGGCGGCTTCCCGCAGGCCCCGCGCGATTCGTGTTTTCAAAAGCTCATCTGAGGGAAATGTGTTTTCACAGAGAGGACATATTTTCACTGGCATTTTCTGAGATGGATGATGCAGCGGGAGCCGGCCAAGAGGATGAAGCGTGAGGTTTCTAGACGAGGATGCACACAGCTGTTCATGCGCTTTGGCAGGCATACGGGGAGCAGTCATTCTTTTGGCCCTAAACGCTGCAGTACTTTGCCCTTAATGCCGGAGGGGCCCTCCCCGAAGGCCAGGCCTGTGTCTGGCATAAATCACAGTGCAAAGAGCAGGCTCCTGATCAGCCCCCACCCCCCTCGCACCTTGGATGTGTCTGGGGGAGGAGAAATGCCTCCTGGGGCGGCGCGCTTGATGCTCTAGCTGTTGAGAGTTTCAAGGGCCCTGACGGGAGGGCGTGTGTTGTGTCTGACAAAGGCCGTGTGTGGAGGCCATGGGGCCGAGGCCCCTCGCTGGCTGCAGGGAGCCGGCTCTCTCCCAGATGGAGGCCGCGGGCCCTGCCGTGAAGCGGCTGTCCTCCCTTTCCATGGAAGTCACCCCCTCACTTCCCAAGCCACCTCTGCGTCTCGGCTGCTGGCCCAACTTCCTAATGCTGCTCCATGTTCTGGTTTCCGCTGATGTCGGCAGCGCTGACCCTCCACCTGGGGGAAGAGCCCAGAGCTCCTCCTCGGGCGGCCTCCCAGCACCGGCCCCCACGAGCCCCTGTCGGGGGCCGACGCGGCCCGTCACTCCAGGTGACCTGCCTCGGGTGGGAGGCCGGGCCGTTCTCTGCCTCCCAGCCAAGTGCACTTCATGTGGTGGTGACCTAACATGGACTCTCAAAGAAAGGCCTTTTGATCCGAGCTGGGCTGCCTGTCCCCGCGTGCTCCCGGCTGCCTCCCTGTGCAACGGCGGCCGCCGGCCCGGCCCTCGCTGGGAGGCATCTGACCTGAGAGTGATGTTATTTTTTGAACGTGGTTTTCAGTACCCGGAGCAGTGATATTTCCAGCTGGTGACTGAGGCGTGGGGGGAGCCCCGGTTTGGCTACACAGAGCTCGTCTTGGGACAGTGCACGGCCAGCATGAGTGAGCGGCCTCCGCCGTGGCCGGCCATTTGCGGAGCAGTCTGGGTGAATTCCCACGAGGCCAGTTGCCTCGGGGTTCCCAGACCGCCGGACACAGGTGCCGCCGCCTCACCCTGGAAGGGGCGCGAGCTGTGTTCCCGAAGGCTCAGCCCCTTGGGAGGAGAGCAGCTCCTTCCGCGCACCCCAGGACGTCTGGGAGCCCCTCGGCCTGCTGAGCCCCAGCTGCAGCCTCCTAAGTTGGGAGCAACCGGACGCCCACCTTGAGGAGCCGGCCTGGAGCCAGACCCCTTGGAGCAAGTGGGGGGCGGGGGTTGCAGGCCCTTCAGCTTTGGGGGATTGTTGGGAGCAGAGAGGAGGAGAGAACAGGAAAAAGCCAGGGAGAAAGCGCCCCCTCTCCTTCAACACTCGCACGGAACCATCCGGCCCCGCCGGGCCCCTCGGTGGTGAGGGCGGCTCGGAGAGGAGCTTCGTGCTGGGCGCAGAGACATGGAGCGTGGCGTCCACGCTGGCTCGGTGGCAGCCAGCCGGGTGAGGGGCGTGTGCCGGGCCCGCCCCGGGGGCCGGCCGTGTGATGCGGTCCCCAGGGCCTGGTGACCCAGACCAGCAGAGAGTCAGGGCACCTCCTTGGGGGAATCACCGCTCCTGGTTCTCTGTCGGGCGAGAGGTGGGCTCCAGGCCGCCCCCTCTGCTTGGGAGCCACCTGGCTGCTCCGTGGGCCGCTTCCCCTCCGGCCCAGCAGTGCAGCTTCTGGGCGCACAGGGCAGAAAATGGGACCTTGACCCTGGGCCGGGAGGCGCCTTCAGCCAGGTGAGGAGGGCCGGGGCGGCCATCTGCACACGTCATTTCCTCTGCCTCTTTTGAAAGAGCCGTAGCTCTGGCAGGCCCTTGGGGGTGGATTTTGAAATGGCTATAAAAGATTTAGTTCCCTTGTCTGCGGGAGAGGGGCAAGCTCCCCCAGGCTTCTGGGGCGCCCAGGCCTTTCGTCCGCTTGGCGAGAGTGCCAGGTGGGAGCGAGGAGCCCCCGGGCCTGCCTGTTGGGGCCACTTCTTTAGGGCACTGGTCTTCCTGCCTCGGCCGTCCAGCTGGCGTCGCTGAGAAAGAGCTTCAGGCCTGGAAGCTCGATCCCCGGTCCTGCCGCCTGTCGCCGGTGCCCCTGGGCCAGTGGCTGGCCTCTGCTGGACCTCCTGCTCGTCATCTGGGGTCGCTCCCCCAACTGTCAGCACGGCTGGCGAGGGGAGCTCCGTTTGCGTAAGCACAGGTCCGTGGGGGGGACCAAGTAGGCCAGTCTGGACATCCGGGCTCCTTGGCCAGGCCTTCGTCTTTCTCTGGACCTCCGTTTCCTGCCCCCAGAGGCAGGGATTGGTCAGCTGACACCCACGTGTCTCCTGCAGGGCCTCCGAGGTTGTGTGGCTGTAAGAAGCTTATGAGTAAATTATTGTTCTTTTCTTCTACTTCAGGCAGAATATGAAGTTACTCCAGATGAAAAGCTGGGAGAGAAAGGGAAGGAGATTATGACCAAGTACCTCACCCCGAAGGTAAGAGGCTCCCAAATCCCCCAGCAGGCGAACGGGAGGGCAGATTCAGGGACGGAGCCCCAGATCGGTGCCGGGCCATGAGGGGAGCTTCGGGCGTGGCTGGTGGCTGCCCTGGGCCGGACCTTCAGAGTTCCCTCCCGCAGACAGCACCCATGCCTGGAGGGGCCCAGGCCCGTGGTCCCAGGGGGGAGGAGGGAGGCCCATCTTGGGGCCCCGCCTCTCCGGGGCCTCACGCTGCCACTGCCGGCACCCAGGTGTTGGAGTGCGACAGGCGGAATCCGGCCAAGGCGGGACAGTGCTGCCCGCAGGGAAGGGCGTGGGGTTTGGGGTGCCCAGGAGGGAAGGGGTGGCTGAAGCCAGCAGAGGCAGTGACATGTAACAATGTGGGTGTTTGGGGTGCGCTGTGGGAGCGCAGGTGGGCCCCCGACCCGCCTGAGAGCCCGGGGTGGGGCCACCCCGGGTCCTGGCAGCTGTGTCCCCGGAGCCTGTTCCTTCTTCCCTCCCACTCGACAGAAGAACGAGCTCTCCGTCCTGCTCAGAGCCCAGTCCCAGCTGCTCGACCCACACGGTCGAGTTCCCTTACTGGGCCTCGGTTTCCTTTTCTTTTTCTAAAAAATTAAATATTTACTTAATTTATCATGCATGTAAGAGCTGGGGTGTGGCCAGAGGTGGGGGGGAATGAGGATTCACCAGAGACAGAACAGGCAGACCAACTGAAACCCACTGCTGAGGGGAGCAGCGGGGGGGCAGGAGGGGTCTGTCGCGCCCTGGGGGCCACTCCCCGGCCGGGGATCGAACTCGTGCTACAGCGGCTGCAGACAGCTTCACAGTGCTGGGACTTACTCCTGCGCCACCAGGGAGGACACACCAGTGTCCTTTTCTTAATGGCTCTCCCAGCTACCTCCCAGAGGCCTGGAGTGCCTGAGGTGAGAGTGTGGGGCACCCACGCTCATGCCCCCCCAGGACCTGGGTGCTGGGTGGCAGTCCAGGGGGGCAGCTCCCCGTACCCCTGTGGGGAGGGTCCTGCTGTCAGTCCAGCTGCACATGCCGCCTCCACCTTACCTGCAACTTGGGTCGCCCTCTCTGGGGCCTGCAGGCTTTTTGCTATAAACTGGGTGAAGCTGACAGGCCACTGCAGAGGGTCTCTGCAAGCTGGACCTTGCAGACTGTCCCCACTGAGCCTGCCCCGGGGGGTACAAGTGATTCTCACAATAGGAGCATCGCAGGTCACGAAGTTGGGAGGTGCTTGGTTGAGGGGAGGGTTGCCAGTGAGAGGTGAGACACAGCCCAGACCCGCTTCCTTCATTCTGGAAGGCCCAGGGCTGTCGTGTCAGGGCGCTGCCCCCCCCCAGCCCCCAGCTCGTGTCCCTTCGTGGCTGTTCTGCAGTGAAGTGAATTCAGCGTGGTCTCGGGAGGCAGAGTAGGGTCAGGACCAGGCGCGGACAGCCCCTCCAGCCCTGGGCGCTGCTGGCAGCCCGAGCCCCTTGTGACGGGTCCAGGTGACGGGTCCAGATGGCCCCAGCAGCGCCATCTGAGTTTAAAACTGTCCCCAGCAGTGGCCGTATGCTTTCTGTAAGTTTTATTTACGTGAAGTCATCAAGCTCACCTGGATGTTTCTCTCCACAAGGGCCCAGAGAGTTGACAGTGCTGGTCCCCCCAATACCCTTGTTGCCCCCCAGATATTGTGGAGGCCTCTCCCATGCCAGGGGGCTCTTGGACCACACCGAGGCCAGCAGGCATGTTTGTGTCCAGTGTGGCTGCCTCCACGCGTCTCTGTGCCACGCCTGGCTGCTGGTGGCCACTGGCCCAGGCGTCCTCGCGACGTGTCTCTGCTCCTGCTCCCCATCATCATCTTCCCCTGCTCTTCCTAGAAGGCCAACAGGGTTGATGCCTTCACGCAGTTCAGAGATCAGGGCGGGGATGTCCACGACACATCTCTGGGCCTGCATGGGCCAGCTCGGCAGCTGGGCGGGCGTGACCGCCATCTGCAGCAGGCGGGTGACCGCACGGCCCTGCCTGGCCCTGCCCCTCAGCCGGGCCCTTGGGCAGCAGCGCAGGTTCTCAGGCCGAAAGCCGCCAGTGGGAAGGTGTCTAAGCAGGGTGTCCGGCGGCTGACCTCGGGCAGGCTGGGACAGCTGGCCACCGCTTAAAACCTTGGGAAACCCTGGCACACAGACACCGCCCTCCCCCCGCCGAGGGGTACCCAGCTCTGGCCGAGTGTCTGCAGTGTCCCGGACACCTCCTTGGCCTCCGAGCCCCATGGCCGTAGAAAGCCCTGCAGAGGGGGTGCCGGGGTGCAGGGGCCATGAGCCGCTGTACCCAGCAGGCGCATAGCATCCGCCACCCTGGTGCAGCCTCAGTGTCCCCCAGGCGGCTCTCCATCCTCACCCGCTAGGGGGCTGCCCGCCCAGTGCGCTCTCGCTGAGAAACGGCAGCTAAGGTGTGTTGAGGACCCCTGTGTGTGTGCACCCGATTCCTTCTGGTCCTTCGGTCTGTGTGATGGGACCCTGTTGGCTCCTCCTTGCAGATAAGGACAAGGAGGCCTCTCACTGCTCCAGGTCAGGGCGACCCAGGTCAGGGTGACCCCAGGCTCCTTGGCCCTCCCCGGGGTGCACTCCTTCCCACCCCACCCCACCGTCTCTGCCTCTCTGCCAGCCTGGCTGTGGTTAGTCTGCAGCTCTCGGCCTTTCCAAGGGCTTCAGGGCTGCTCCCCTCGCCGCTGCCTGGCCCACCTCACCCAGAAGCCTCTGCTACCAGGCCCCCACCTGGCCCTCCAGCTCTCCCTGCCCTGCTCAGGGCTGTCCCACCTCCTGGAGGGAGGCGACCGGACGCCTGGCTGGCTCAGACGGGTTTACAAGTGCCTCAGAGCCTGCCAACATTTTTCTCTTAAGTGCTCCTCAATTTTTAAACCACACCATCTGTTACGGCCCCAGGGCCTGGGGGAGGTGGTCAAAGCCTCGGTCAGTCTCACGCTGCCCTCCCAGCCCTTCCCACCGCCCCTCTCTCAGGAGCCTGGCTGCCTTCCAGGCTGCAGTAGCCCTGGGCCCCGGGACTGGATCGGGGCTCAACCAGGGACTCAAGCCTTCCAAAGCCCCCAGAGCCATTGTCCCCAAACCCGGACTCCTGGCCTGGCGTCCCCGCCCCAAGAAGCAGCCCGTGTGTCTTAGCTCCCAGCAGCCTTGTCCGAGGAGAGGCCGTGGGACCCAAGCCACGCGAGCCCCTCTGAGAATCGCCTCTGGGTGGGTTCAGTTGGGCCCCTGTGGGCTGTCCGTCCCCTTGCAAAGGTTCGCCAGCTCGGAGCGTCCCCAAGGCCCTGAGAAGGCCTGCAACAGGACCCAGCCCGATGGCTAACAGAGCAGCTCCCAAGCTTACTGGACCACCAAGTTCTCATCCTGCTGAGCAGCCCTTGGGCTGCAGAACACATCCGGGGCCTCCGTGACCCGGCCTCCTCCTGCCCCCCACCCCCGCTGCCCCCGACAGCGCCCACACCAGCTCCTACGCTGTCCGGCCCCAGACACCTTGCTGGCCACACCTCTCGCTCCCTTGGGTTCCTCCTGCCAGGCTCCCTCCGCTCCTCCCTCCCTCCCATGCCCTGCACAGCCCCAGCGCCCTCCACCAGCCTCGCTGGGCTCCTGCACAAGGCCTGCTCCTGCTGGGAGGTCTCGGGGGTGCTCCTCCATCCTTGTGCACCCTCAGGGCCATGCCTGGGTCCTGGGGACCCCGCCTCACCGAGGGGCCCCTGCAGGGGCTGCCAAGCCTCGGCGGATGGGTCGATTTCGGCTGAGGAGCCCAGCACAGGGAGCCGCGGTGCGGGGGGTCCCTCCGGTGCGTGGGGTGGCTCCGGGGAGGCTGGAGCTGCAGAGTCCAGGCGTAGCGGGAGGAGGAGGAGCCGGATACAGGAGACCGGCCCGGCGGGCGAGGGCAGAGCGGCGGCCTTTGCCAGTGGTGGGAGCTGTGTGGTTGATGCGCGGGGAGGATGCGTTAGTGGCACCTGCCGAGCAGTGGGGCGGGGGGGGCTGCTGATAATCCTGCAGTGCACGGGGCGGCCCCCGGTGAGGAGTGACCTGGCCCCATGTGTCCATGGTGAGAACCTTGGTGTCGGGGGAGGAGGCGGGTGTGGGGCTGCAAACAACACTGGGGAGCTCGATACAGGACCCCCCGGGCTGTGATGCCGTCAGCAGTTTAGGACGACTCTGACCACAGCCCCCACCCCAACCCCGGAGCTGCCGCAGGAGCCTTGGGTGACAGTGGCCCCAGCTGAGACAGCGCCGTGCGGGGTGTGGGGGTCAGGGCCCCGAGAAGCACCAACAGGGAGATGCTCTGGGCGCCGGCCAGGCCTGGCGTGGAGGCGCGTGGGCAGGAGGTGTCCCCTGCGTGTCCCCTTGAGTTGCTAGAACACCAAGGCAGGAGGTGGGAGCCGGCTGCGGACACCACAAGGTGCGCGGCTCGCCGGGCAGAGGGGCGTGTCTGCCCCCCGCGGCCGGCCCTGGCGCACACCCACACCCACGTGCTGGGCTGAACGAGGCGGCGAGGGGGCCCCCGGGAGCTTCCCTCCCACACCAGTCCAGCTCGTGTCTGCTGGTGCCCCCGGGGCCTGCTGGGGTCCGGCTGGCAGGTGCCTGCCAGGTCCTTGCTCCCCAGGGCATGCTCGTGACCCAGAGGTGCCAGTGCAAGAGGCGCCCCCTCCGCCCCGAACCCTGCTGCAATGGCCCATTCACAGCTGCTTCTAGGTGCCCAGGACAGGGCGCCAGGCCGGGGACGTGGGCTGGCAGTGCCGCCGGCGGCCTAACGCAAGGAGCCAGGGGACTCTGGTCAAAGCCAGGCGTGGCCTCGTCCGGCCGTGTGCTTTCAGGACAGCGCCTTGACCTCTTGGAGCCTCCGCTCGCTCAGCTGGGGCGGGGGGCGTGAGGGTCAGAAACACTTGCAGGCCCAGAGCCCAGGACAGAGCTGGGGCGGAGGAGACAGTCGCAGTGACTGTGTCTGCTCTTGCCCCGAGTGCT